CTTCCAAATTTATTATATATTTATTTATTTTTTTGGAAAAATTACTTGGATAAGTACATTTTAATAAATAATTATTAATTTTAGTGATACTTTTTTATTTATTACCATTTATAGCAATACATAACAATACTATGATAAATTTGCAATATGTATTAAAAGTTAATTATGTATGCAATATATATGTATTATAACTGTTTAAAAATATATTATGATTGTTTGGTAAGAAATTGACACATTGTATTAAAATGTGTGATAAATATATTATTTATAAATAAAACTTGCATTGTATGTGTTTTATAAATTGTTTTCTGTAATATGGATTAAAATTGTATTCGAAATGTATTAAAAGTGATCGAGTGAAAAAAAAAATGTTATTACTATAAATGATAAATATTTTCTTAATATAGTATATTTATGCAAGATTCTCATTTTTTTTTTTTAATTTTATAATTTTGTTGTCAATTATTTTTACAATATTTTAAATGTACTTTTGAAATAATATATGTGGCACATGTGATATTTGAGAGTCCTAATTTGCAAGCCGTCATAATAAACCTAAAACAACTAAATTATCCTCGAACTTAGTGGATATTTACGGAAAGTAAACACGTCAACTGAGACGTGTGTGCCTATTCCTTCTTATATATTAGTAGTGGATATTCTCAAAAACACATACTTCTCCATTTTAAATTATCTGCATTTTTTTTCCTTACACACCTATGAGAAATATTTGATATATCTTATATTAATTGTCCACATAATAATAATAGATGATCTAAATTACTTGTCAATTTATAAAATCAAGGTAAAATGAATTGATTTTTTCTCATTTTAGCCTTATAATTATAATTATTTTTTAAAAGTGTATACAAAGTTAGTAAAGTTAAAAAAGTTTTTATAAGGTAAACTAGTAAAAATATCCTTCCTATTTATGATTTCTTAAAACAATATAAATGGAAAAATAGATAAGGAGTATTAATATTGAGGAAATTTTTGATTAGTTTAATCTTATATATATCTAAGGTATATCTCTCTGTTAAATGTTCACTCAATATATATGTCATCTTTATTAATGAGTATATATGCAATTACAAAAATCACCTTGACCTATTAACAAAAATTAGTAGAAAATCTAATAGACATCTAAAAAAAATATTAAATTAACAACTTCAAAAAGTTAACATTTGGGGAAAAAATAATAATTTTGCTTTCATAAATAATTTGAAACGGAAGAAGATTTAATAAATGTTGAAGCTATACCAGTAGATACTTGTCGTATGAGAATCGAAAATAAGAGTTACATTACAAAAACAAACAAGTGCCTTGTAATCCTATATTTTGACAATTGGTTCTGCTTTTGTTTTTCCTTCTTTACTTATAAATCACTGACTTGTACGTCAACATAACAAGTTCCCAACTACTTTAATTTTACTAAGAAAAACAATTCCCAACCAACAATTGTTGTGATGTGTCCACTAAATACCAGCATAAAATCAATGTTAAAAAATAGGGAAAATTTTGGAGGAGGATCAAAAGTGCACCAATATTGCAAACATGATGGACTATTAGTGCTCCATGTGAAAACTCAAGGATGACTTTGAGCCTTAGCCCAAAGATGAGGGACTATTTTGAGCCTTTCCTCGAAGCACAAATATACAGAGTATTAGGCTAAACTATATCAACTTTTAAGTTTAATTAAGGGTAATGCTAAGGGCCGTTTGGCCATGCAATAGAGAATCATGATATGGTATCATGAGATGAAATTGAAGTTTTTCTTGGACATGCAATATGAAATTTTTGTGTTGTATATTTTCTCATAAACATAAAAATTCCATCAGTTGTAAAACTATTAAAATAGCCCCAATTGTTTATTCAATCTTATAAAATAAACAAAAAATTATAAAATCGCATAATAAATTATTACAAGTTATTTGTTCTCCACTTAAGTAGTTGTTTCATCTAACTTTAATTTAATAAAAAAAAATTGAACATAAATTGTAGTGTACTAGTCTTTAATAATCCTCCCACATAGTACGGACAATTTCCTCTCGTTGAACTTGCATTTCTGATCATGTGACCGAGAAGACAAACCAACATTGTTACTTTGAGCCATTTGTTGGTGTATCATCCGTAACTATATTTTCATGCTCATACACCATAAATATTTCATTAGTACTTTGGTATTCTCGCAAATAATTATGTAACACTACACAACCTATGACAATTTTCACTTGTGTATCAATATCATAATGGTCCATGCCTTGTTTCAGTATTCTAAATCTATTTTTCCAAGCTCCAAAAGTCCGTTCAATCACATTGCGCAGAGATGAATGCCTATAATTAAACAGTTCTTTGGCATTTTGAGGCTCTCTTTCACTTCCTCGGTAATTAGTCCTTTGTATGGAGCTAAAAATCTTTGTGTTTTTCGGAAACCAACATCAATAACATAATATTTATCTACCAACAAACATTTTATAAAGAATTACTAAAAGCATATGTGACGTAAATGAGACAGTTTTGTGTAAATAAATAATATTTATTCTAAGGATGTAATTTAAAGTGATCATGTGGCGGAAATGAAAATTGTGACGTTGGTTCAACATGTGTAACAAAGGTAAATCGCATATCAAAATCACAAGCGCACATAAGACATTTTGTGATGTTCTTCCTTTGCGATTACGATATGCTTGTTGCACCACTTTAGGAACCTCCCCTTCTATATATGTTCCATCAATCGCACCAACACAGTCCTACCAAATAAAAAATACATCAATAATATTTTAGTGAACATAAAATAAATTGAAAGGCTTATAGAATGCACTTCATAAAAATAATGTTTGTAAGAGTAATAAAAATAGTGCTTCCAAGACAATGCAATGTGATTATAAATTTTATTTACATATGAAATAAATGGTTAGTAGATATAAATGTGGGTTGTTTTAACAAAATATAAACACGTGGATCAATTTTTGTATTAAAAATCTCAAATCATGATATGAAATTCTCATCTAATTCCATATCATGGCTTTTGGAAAATATGAAATCACATCTCATGATATGAAATTATGAGATGAAATCAGTGTAAAATCGCATATCCAAACGCTAATTCCATCTCATATGGTATCGCATAGCCAAACGCCTATTAAGAGTTTTACAACAATCAGATTACCTAAAATACATCAATAAGTCGTCCATGTTCATTGTGCAGCATTTATGAATCACTTTGAAAAGAGTAAAAATAACTTGTGCAGAAACCATGCTAAACAAGTAGTAAAAAAAATTTAGTTGCTAATATGTGCCCTGTCTTGCAAGTATTATAGATTCACATGTAGCTCTAGTTATAAAAATAATTATAAAAAAAAAAGAGACTGGAACTGTACGAAGATAGCTGAATATACAGTAAAATCTCTCTAAATTAATATAGGTGAGACTATAACATATTATTATTTTATAGTGGTATTATTTAATCGATAAACTAATATTTATTAATTTAAATAGTGTTTTGACACCGAAAAAATTGTTTAGGGATGACATCTCAAAGAATTTGAAAGAACCCGCTTGTGAAAATGTCATTCGTGAACTTGAGATCATGATTATTGATCTCGGTTACCGCAATAAAATGGACGTTAATAACTCATTGAATGAGTGAAAATGATACATGTTCAGAGGTCCAAAGCTTTAAACAAATTTTGGAATCCTTGGAGAAATAATGTTGATGATAAAGTTGAAGATGATACAATACCTTTGAAATCAGTTACGCGTAAGAAAACACTTATCACATCTATAATTCTTCACAATTTTATGGTGCAATTAGAAAAGACAACATTAAAACTTTTGGATGCAATAAGAAAAGTTAGAGATGAAATTTAACTAGATTAAAATTTACAGAACATAATAGAATAATATTCACTCAATTGTCTTAGATATATTTGTACTTTTAAAGAATTATTAATTTATAATATCAATGGGACTATATATTTATATAGGAGCCTTTTGAAAATATATTATTTTATTATCTTATCGAAATGAGTGATTTTTTCTATTGGCCCAAGTCGGGACCGGAGAAAATTATTATCTTAGAGCGATTATTAATTAATCGAGTATTAATTTAATGAGGTTATACTACTACTAAAAATCTATATCAGTTTTTCCTTCCCCTGAATAGCAACTTTTTGTACCTCAGAGATACCTAAAATGCTCATGTTAGACCAAGTCACTCATCATAAACAAGTGACTAATTCCTAGATCTTCATTATTGAAGCAACAATAATCAGTTACCTGTAATTCTGTAAACTGCTACTCTGAATTACAAATGAAAGCACATCGATTCATACACAGATCACGAAAATTCCTTAATAGAAGTTAAAAACGAGTTTATCTTCACAATTAATCATTAAAAAAAAGTAAACAAGAGACAAACCAACTATGTGAATGTGACAGAGGAATTGGCATTACTATTAGAAAAAGAACGAGTAACAGATAAATGATAATATAGTTAACCCGATAACTGACGGTGAACTCAGTTATTAATGTAGATTTGTCACTTCAAATCAGGGGCGGAGCCAGTATATCATAAGGGGGGCTCTTGTGCCTAGCTCTTTATATTTTAAACCCCATCGGTAAAAATTCTAATTCCTTTGAATCCATGTTGCCATTGTTGGGCAGAAAGAGTAGATAGAGACTATTTCAAAATGGATAACACACCACGCGAGGTATAAAAACAGAACCACACAAAACCAACTCTGCGTTCGCAGAAAGTTAGTAATATCTCTGACAAAATTAAAGGAGGAGGAAATGTACCGAAAATCATGGTTCACAGACGTAGCCAGGTAGGCGGTCCCAAAAAATCTACTACGCAAGCAATGGCCTCTCACTAATTCGATTCCCAAATTGTAAATGCCCCACCGCCTTATCAGTTACTTATCACCTTCTTTGTCCAACTTGGATTCCCCCCTACTTGACGTTAAATCTCCACCATTAACTCAAACTTACTTTATAAACCAAGCAAACCCCAAACCAAACAATTGCCAAAAGCCCAACAATGGCCCTCTTATCACCACCGCCCTCTAAGTCCAAGCCTTACCCATTTTCGCCGCTTCCCCAAGCAGTTCACAGGCCGGGGAGAAGCACTTTCCCTGCTCAAACAACCAAAAATGTAAATTCCTTGTCTTATACTTCAATAACAACAAAAATTGGCGAGGTTAACAAGTGGAATTGTTATGGACTGGAAGGAAAAGTTAGATTTAGCAGAAGAGTAATGCTAATGCCAATTGTGAGTGCAGCAGTGACGCAGCCCGTGTCAGAAAACGAAAGAGAATCGAACTTTAAGAGGATTCTTCTTTCTGATGTAGTGGTAACCCGGCCTAGGGAGGTGCTTTGGGGTAGGAAATGGAATTCAGTGGATATGGCCTCAGCTGCGGTGGTGGTTTCTATGCATTTGCTCTGTCTATTTGCACCATTTACTTTCAATTACGCTGCTCTTGGGATTGCATTTGGGTTATATATAATCACTGGACTTTTGGGTATTACACTTTCTTTTCACAGAAACCTCTCTCATAGAAGCTTCAAACTTCCCAAATGGCTTGAGTACTTTTTTGCCTATTGTGGTGCCCAAGCACTTCAGGTAATTCAATAAACCCACTACAAGTATTCTTTCTTATTTTCTTGTATTAGGCATTTGAATTTACTATGTCATGTGTGATTGTAGGGACATCCAATTGATTGGGTGAGTACTCATAGATACCACCATCAGTTTTGTGATTCAGAGAAAGACCCTCACAGTCCTTATGAAGGATTTTGGTTCAGTCATATGAGTTGGATGTTTGATACCAACACCCTTACTGAGAGGGTAAGTCTTTCATTCTATAATCTATTTGCCTACTTATGAAATGGAAGGAATTCTTGAGTACTGATGTTCTATTTATGTGTAGTGTGGGAAGCCCAACAATGTGGGGGATTTGGAGAAGCAAGGTTTCTATCAGTTCATTCGTGATACTTATGTGATCCATCCCGTCGCGCTTGCAGCTCTGTTGTATGCAATGGGAGGATTTCCTTACATTGTTTGGGGCATGGTAAGTGGAGCTTTTCTTAGTTTGCACAACTCCATTCATGGAGAAAGCTTTCATTTTCCCCTTTTTAACATTTTGGGAAAACTATTAATTGGGGTAAAATGAAGAATTGGTTGATAAAAATTGTACATTTTTTCCACATAACACTACCATAAAGATTGAAATATCATGTGTACAAATGAGGAAATACAATTTACAATTTGAATAAGCTTGGTTTTTCTTTTTAGTCTTTGGGTATTTAAGATATTGTTAAGCAAGCTTTGTTATCTGTTAAAATCTCCAAATGTGTTTGTATATGTCCACCCGCCTAGTTCAAGTTGTGACCCGATTTTGTGTATTGTATTTTCTTTATGTGTCAAATCTCCCAATGGCAAGTTGTGAACCAATTTTGTGGAAGAAATCTACAGTTGCATCTCTCATTAGACTACTGTTTCTTCCTGTGTCAAATCTCCTAATAGTTTTGGATCTTTCTCCCTGCCTAACTCAAGTTGTGAGCCAATTTTGTGGAAGAAAGTTGCTGTGTTATCTGTTGGTAGGGTCTTTCATTTTCTTAACAAACTACTGGACAAAATCAAGTGCTAATTGTTGCTGTTCCATACAACATGTCTTTTGGATCTCACTGGCAATTAACTGTAGGAGTTAAACGATGTTCAACGATAGTTCTGTCTTTGAAGGGTGAAAGAAATAGTAAACCAAGAAAAAATCTAGTACCTTTCAAAAATTGATCAGAATGACCTTCCGAAATCAAACTTGCAAGAGTCTTGAAAGAAAGTTTAAACTAGTAACATAGGCAAAATTTTGAGTTATATGCATTTGGTGCAATGAGATTTTGAAAATTCAACTGCTAAATTTGCGCTGCGTGTGCAGGGGGTGAGAATTGTGTGGGTATACCACATAACTTGGCTAGTAAATTCAGCATGCCATGTATGGGGAAAGCAGGCGTGGAATACTGGTGACTTATCAAGGAATAACTGGTAAGCTTGTTTAGTTTTATACTTTAGTGTATAAACGTTTAAATTTATTTGTCTTGTTGCTTCTTTTCTTTTTGTCCATTTTTGGGGACTTCATCAAAATAATTTGTATAATATAGGTGGGTGGCATTGCTTGCATTTGGAGAAGGTTGGCACAACAACCACCATGCGTTTGAGTATTCAGCTAGGCATGGATTAAAATGGTGGCAACTTGACATGACTTGGTATGTCGTAAGATTTCTTCAAGTTATTGGATTGGCCACTGATGTCAAGTTACCAACTGATACTCATAAACAGAAGCTGGCGTTAGCTGACAGTTAGGGAAAACACAATATGTATCACGAGAAATTTAGATTCTTGAGTGACTAATTACTGTAACTACGTGGGTGAAGCTTCTTTCTTCTGCTCCTCCATTTTGTAACTACTTGGAATGAAAGCTACATTTGCTAGTACTTGCCTATAGATTCTCCATAAAACTTATTGCAACACTGAAGCCTTGCTGCATTCAAATTGTTAGCTCTTGTTACGGGGGAGAATAAATGAAAATGGGTGAATGATAAATGGACACGACACAAAAGAGGAATGGTAAGTTTATGTCCCACAATATTACACTAGGTTTGTTGTTATATTATGATACAAAATAACTCCAAGTCCCAAACAATGAGAAAAAATATACTTTTCCCAAATAATGAGAAAAAAATATAATAGTACTTTTCATAAAACGTGAGCAAGTCCAAACAATGAGAAAATGTGAAAAAATATATTTCTCATAAAATGTGAGCAAGTCTCAAACAATGAGAAAAATATACTTTTCCATAGAATGTATCCGTCTAAATAATATATATCTTTACGTATGAAAACGGTTGTTGGAACATATAATGAGTCAATGGAATGAGGGTTGGGCCTATTTTACAAACAATTGATTTCATCCAATCAAAAAGAAGCCCATTTAAATCAATTGCAAGACCAACTCTTGTTATGGAGATTGAAGGGTAGAGATAGTGGACAACCATTTAAGTGATACTTGTACGTGATAATTTACATTTTATAGGTGTTCATTCATTTTTGTTTAAACTTCAGTCAAACATATAATTCACAGAATCAAATTGTAGAAATATCAAACGACAAATTCACAAATTCTGTTTTTTGACATTTTCAAATCGATAATTTATTTTTCATATCATGTTGCTCCAAACAGTTTCTATCTATATGTATAGGTATGAGTTTCTTCTTTGAAATTCGAAATGAGTTATTTCTTTTTATATAATGAAAATCGCAATATATTATAATAATAGGCAGCAAACGACAATGACAAAACCTGGGAGAGGTTATGTTTGATTTTTGGACGAGTCTATTATTTCATATAAGATTGGATGATGATAAAAATTATTTTTTGAAAAAAACTAAATATGCCATTGTATCCTCTCCGAAAGAAAAAATTAATTTGAATTGAATTATTTGAGATTTTTTGAAGGTTCTTGCTTTACATGTACGATAACATTCACCGATAGGATGCAAATTATGAATACAAATTATTTGACACTACAACTAAAAAAATCAAGTTTATATTTACGGAGTAACATTCCAAGTTGGGTAGTGGGTACCAATTGAGCTTATAAGCTCACATCTACATTATAAAAATAAATATATAGAAGTTTCAAATTATAGATTATGACATCTTTGTTCAACTTTTTGCATTAGATGCGTTTTTACAGAAAAATAATTGTACACTTCTTTTGTTAAATATATTATCAATCAAAAGAATATTTAGAGTGATCAGAAATGATAGACATCGATCAAGTCCATATTCCTTTGATGAGTGTATCACAAATTACAATAAATAAATTGATAATTAAAATGACAAAAATAAATAAATTTATATTCATGCCTACTCCAGCATAATATACATCAATCCAATAGAATGATTTTTTATCTATCCCCATTTGAATACAACGACCTAACAAATCAATAACATTTTGTTACTTAATCAACTTTGAATTAGTTAAATAGTCCAAAACTTTATAAAAAAAAACACCTTCATTCAACATAAAATTATGCTTTTTTTCACGGTGACTAAGTTGGAAACATACAGTTTTTTCTTAGTCTCAATTATCTTTGTACTACACTAATCTTAAAATATACTCCCTTCATTCGCTTTACTTGTCACGGTCTGATCTGGTACACCCATTAAGAAAAATAATTAATAATATAAGTACTTTATTAAAATATCTTTTATTAAATGATGTCTGAGAAAATGATTTGGAAAATACTCCCTCTATTCACTTTTATTTGTCACATTTTGACTTGACACACCCATTAAGAAAATGATTATTGATATAGGTATTTATCAAACAATCCATAATTAAATTATGTTTAGTATTAAGTCTTGAAAAATGATTTGAAGAAAGAGTATTTAATGTTGAGGTAAACATGGAAAAATATTACTCCATTCTTGATATGTCAAAAATGACAAGTAAAAATGAAATCTATATTAGAGAAAAATAACAAGTAAAAGTGAACGGAAAGAGTAAGTATTTCATGCTAATGGAAAAAAATTATCGTCTTTTCTTGATATATCAAAAGTGACAAATAAAAATAAAAAATTATTTTAGAAATAAGTGACAAGTAAAAATAATACGAGGGAGTAAACACCATAGTTGTACCGTAATTAACAGACATTCTCTTCACGACCCATTAAAATTTAATCATTAATTTATCACTCTGATTTATTTTTAAAAAAAAACAAAAGCGCTATAATTAGTTACCCGCATTCTCACAAATGAAATTATGAGACTATGGAGTAACCTTGGATGACTATAGAATATAGGTAGACAAATAATTACATTTCTATTGAATTCTGTATTATATTGCACTCATAAGAGCTAATCAGACAATAAAAAGGCAAAATAATTGTGATCTCGAGCAATGTAGCAATGCCACTAATATTTTGAAGCACAAACGTGACATGAAGAGGACGCAATTGTGTCCTAATTAATTAAACTTTTAGGAAGCGCACGAATTATTAGATTATTGATTAGTTGCCTAAAGTTTTAATTTCAAGTATACATTTAGAATTTCTAGGCCAAAAGATATCATAAGTTGTCTATAATTATAATATACTCTTTCCGTCTAAATTTTTGTGGCACATTCTTTAGTTCGGTCACAAAAAGTGTAACCTCCACATAATTTAAAACAATTTAATTTTAAAATTTGATTTTTATCATCAATTAAATAAGTTATACTCCACACACAAATATCTATAATTTGTTTGCACACTTTAACTTGACCTCATTTGATGTTTATGTCTTTCAACTTTAAATTTTCATAAGTGGGGCGCACCTAAACTTATATTGATTTAAACAAGTAGATACATGTTTCCACATGTATTATGTCAGATAGAACACATGTGTCTAATTGTTTAATATTATACAAATTTAAGTATTCACTTGTGCACATTATAAATGGAGAGAATAAAAGTCATGGCTAAGACCAAATTAAAAAGCATATATATATATATATATATAATACCTTAAAATATCTTCTATTAAATTTTATATCAAGCCAACGACGCCAAAAAGTAATACTACTAGCAAACATTTAGAAAGTTGTAATTTGAATGGAGAAACAGCTACAGTAAATAAGCACGGGAGCATAAAGCATGATTATGAAGTCTATGCATTTATATTAAAAAATTGGAGAAGCATTTTGGACATGGGCGTCTTCAAAAGTGTTGTATTTTTTAACTTATCAACATTTGTGTAAGGGTTCATCTCCCAAGCTATGGAAGTTTGATATTTTTAATTCCAAGCATGCAGTAATTTTTAGAATGTTTGGGATAAAAATATGATAAAGAATGGGAAATGTTTGTTCGGTTATCGAAACTTTTATGGTGTTTTAATAATAATTAAAAAGAATTGGCAATTTTAGCTACTCACCACATTATAAAAGGATAGAACTTGCACAGTTGCACTACTAATTTTTTTTTACTATTTCTTTATTGAAAATTTCAGTAAAAAATATGTAATGATTATTGTTACAAATATATTGATTGAAGGGAAAATTTGTATATAATAACAAACTATTAATTCAAATTAAATGTTATAAATATAGTTTGAATTAATTGTACCCTATATCAAACTGTTGCTATTTCGCCTCTCTCCTGGTGAATCTCGCTCGCCACTCTCGTTCTCTCCCTCCCCTCTCGCTTTTTATACAAACGCAAATGTATAAAATGCGTTTGTGTTTGTATAAAGCGAGAGAAAATTGTATATATACATATATTTTTGTTCCCCTCTCCAAGATCTCGCTCGCTCACTCGCCTCTCTCACTTTATACAAAAATGCAAATGTATAAAATGTGTTTGTGTTTGTATAAAGCGAGAGAAAATTGCATATATACATACATTTTCATTCTCCTCTCCCAGATCGATCTCGCTCGCTCACTCACCTCTCTCACTTTATACAAACACAAATGTATACATTGTGTTTGTATAAAGCGAGAGAAAATTGTATATACAAATACAAATGCATATATTTTCGTCCTATACACTTATGATTATACAAATACGATCTTCCCCTATCCAGTTTTCTTTTGCCTTTCTCTCTTTCTCGCTTTATACAAACACAGATTATACTATTGATCTTTTGTATATGTATACCAAAGCAGATTATACAACTGCTTTATTTTATATATGTATAACGAAATTATACAACTGCTTTCTAATGTATATGTATAACGAAATATACATATTTATGTTTGTTATGGGGCGCAATTATGCAAACTATAGCTATAACATACAAATATAATTTTTGTGTTTGCTATATGTGAAAGTTGCTCTTGATCGAATCGCTAAGAGAAAAAAATATTTATCTTTTACAAGAAAAAGTTAGAAAGCTTTTCTAGCATTTTAGTAACAATCTATTTTTTTTGCGTTTTAATAACAAATTTAATGTTATATAATATAAATTTCTCATGAATTTCGTTGGCTTAAAAACTATATTTCTATTAGTATTGGAGTAACAACTAGCTTGAATATTATTTCCTCCAATCCAATTTAGGTGTTTTACTTTTGTTTTTAGGTTGATTGTACCTAGGTATTCTAATTTCAACAATATATGTGACAAACATAATAGTACCACAAAATTTAAAGAATTACTCGCCATTTTTGTTATAAAATTTTGGTATTCAATCAAACTAAAATACTTAAATTGAAACCGAACATAAGTTTCTATCACATTTCAATTAATTTATTTGATTCCAATTTTCATTATTTAATAAATTTGCTTAATATAACTTTCCAGCAGGGAGCAGGATCCAGCTTGCCACGTCTTCACTTGAGCTGTTACAGAGTGAAGAACATTGCGACTGCAGCATGTTTAGCAGTGACCAGAAAGTTAATGCTTTGGCCAAACTCCAAGACTTGGTGAGCATGGAGGTAGTGGCATAATCAAACAATTCTCTCTTTTTGCACTCTCAAAAATGAGAAAAAGTTATGAAAAAAGGTTACTCCGTTAAGGACAAAATTGGGAGTCAGATGAAAAGTGAAAAACCACAGTCGTATACAGTGTGGTTAACATTTTGGCAGTATACAGAGTGAGTGAGTACAAAGGCAGGCTCACTAATTATTGGCGCAACATATAAAAATAAATAGTGATGGAATAAAAAATAATTATGAATAAAAAATTTATATCTTATTTTATTGTCATGTTTGAGATAATTTATCATATCATTTTGTATATTATAGCGATGGATAAGTTATTTCATATACATGGGATAAGTTATTTCAGAATAGCTAACCACAAGATAACTTGTTCCCAATCAAACAACTCTTATTATCTTATTAAACAATAGTGTACTTCTTTTGTATAAATATATAATTCAACTTTACAATTTTTATTTATTTTTAAGAAAAATAATTTATGATCATACTGAGGAGTAATATTTGTTATTGTTCAATTTGTTATCCCTAATATTCTATTTTCCTATTGTTTTTTAACATCTCTTTTTTATTGTTACTTTTTCTTTTGACATTTAAGTTTGATATGTTATATAAAAATCGATGGTTATCAAAAATATTTTTTTCTAATTTCACAAAGTATAATTAAATTGTATATATATACTATCCTCTTGAGATATATTTATAAAACTAATTATGTTATTTAGTAATAAACCAGACTAACTAGTATAAAGTGAGATGACAAGGTAATTAAAAGGAGGAAGTGCTAGGTGGTAAAATAAAAGGAGATGGGATGGATATTAGAGTCAGAAGGAGCAGGGAGTTGTCGGGTGAAAGGGAGAGAGAGGATTGAGGAAGCTTAAGAAGGCCGCACATTACACCAAAAGCGGACAGCACGCGGAGGAGGAGACTGACTCAGTACTGGGTCAGAGGCGAAGTTAACTAGGGTTCGCGATTGAATTCAGTAACATTTTCATTGATCATATATGTATATTAGAAAATTATATAAATATAAATGTATATTAACTTGTTTACTTCTTATAAATTAATTAACGATTTAGTGAGAAGAAAAATGTTATAAAAATATTTTCCACACTGGAGTTATTAATTTGAATCTTACTATGAACAAAACATATATATTTTTTTCTAAAATTTAGAACTCCAAATTTTTAATCCTGACTCCGTCTTCAAACGGGGTTCCAAGCAAGTTGCAGGTCACCACATAACACACCATATAGGTATAGCCCAAGCAACTCCAACACCAAAAATAAAAACGACTGCGCCACTCTCTAATCCTGCAGTCACTCTGAATGTTGTATGTACATAGATCATCCTGAGTAGGCCCGCCGGTCTACATTATTCCCCACACTCACCTCGATTACCTCATCCCATTACTTTGCAATTTTTAAATATTGCTTAATTCATTTAACTTAATTTAATTGCAAAGATTTGTTTAATTAATTACTGAAAAACGTAAAACGACATATAGATTAAAAGGAAGAGAGTATCCACTTGATTAAAATTGAAATGCACGGAAGTAAATTAATTTGAAGTATAAAAAAAGGAACATTTGGTTAGCATGTGAAGAAATAATAACACGGGAAAAGATGTACGCACTGTTTTCATTTTTTCCGAAAGGAAAAGATGTACTAGGTACTTGCATTATGGAAAAACGAACATGTTGGATGGACAAAATAAGAATGCGTGTAATGAAAAAAAGCTTTAATTTGTCATTTCATCCCTAGTTAAGTACTTCTAGTTTATGCTTGTCAAACTATAATTTTAATTAATAGGAGTTCAATTTACCATGTTGTAAGCTCCTTTTTCTCATTTTTTTAAAAAGAAAAAGAAACAACTTAGATAAATAGTACATAACATAAAACAGTACTGGCAATATTGTTTCGAAAAACTTAACCAAAATAGTATATTAAGTGTTTCAATTAGCTTTGTCTTATTTCTTCAATCTATTTTAAAAAAATCACTTTTCCCACTTCCAATTTTAATTTTTCAGACATATTTATGCAAAACAAATTACAATGAAAAGAGCATGATTTTTTAAAATTATTTAGGGCCAATTTAGAAAGGTAAACGAATAAAACAAAAAAAAAAAAGTAAAAGTGAGAGTCCATAGGATAGGTGGGGTCAGATTCACCGCCAGATGGTGATCCTTTATAAGCTTAGTCTCGGCTCTCACCTCTCACCTGACTTGACTGCAAACAAATTAAAGCAATTACTGCCATTTTTACACCCTGAAATAAGAAACGACATACACACTCCTCTCGAAAGCAACTCTCCTTTCGCCCCCATATTTAGGAAAAAAGCCTGAGACTAATTTAATTCTATCTCCTTTTCCTTCTCTAATACTACTATTCCCTCATTTACAAAAAGCAGCCAAAACGGGTCTACCTCTGTGGATGCTTGGCCTCGGCGTCGAACGCTTGCGAGGTGATATGAATCGCTTGCTCGCGTTACTCTTCCACCAGGTTCCTAATAATTTGCTATTGTTAGTTCTCAGATTTTCGTTTTTTCGCACAGATGCTAAATGTGATTTTTATTTGTACGTAAAATAAAATAGGGAGTATTAGACGAGCAATTTTTGCAGCTGCAACAGCTTCAAGATGAATCCTCTCCTAATTTCGTCTCCGAAGTTGTCAACATCTACTTCCAGGAGTCCGAAAAACTCTTACGAAATCTCAGATCCTTGTTGTGAGTGTTTTTTGTATGTTTTTTAGTCGAGATTCTATTGAAAATAGTCTATTATTGTTTCAAAGAGGTGAACTCATAAAAGCGATTTTACTAGTACTACTTTATTGTGGGCATGTTTTATATCAAGCGTGGGAATAAAAGGAGGAAAAAGTTGAGTTTTTTTTGATGGGTTTTAATACCTCTGAGTTTGTTATCTTTTCTTTTTCTTTTCATCTTTTACTGATGGAGTGGTACTCTTTTTATAATATGGCGAAAAAAAAAACAGAATGGATAGAGAGTTTTCGGACTACAAGAAAATGGGAGTGCATTTGAATCAGTTTATAGGAAGCAGTTCAAGCATTGGTGCAAAACGCGTCAGAAACGTCTGCGTCGCCTTTCGCGTTGCGTCCGAGCAGAATAACCGACTTGGGTAAGTAACCAACTTTTTCTTATTTTTAAATAAAATAATTCGCCTATATACTAGGACCACTAAAACTGAAAAAAATAATTGTTTTTCTCTTTTTTTTTTCTCAGTTGTTTGAGAGCTCTAGAGTTGCTTGAGCATGAATATTGTTATCTCAAGAACAAACTTCATGAACTTTTCCAGGTAATTATTGACCGTTTTGACCGCCAATATTTTTTACATTCCGAAAATCATGGTCTATCATAAATTTTGAAATTTAACAATTTTGCCTTTTGCACTACAAAGAACATTTTTGAATATTTTTTTTCTTTTCAAAGTTCACTACCAAACAAATCCTAATAAGTTAAACATCGTACACATTTTCATCCTAGCTACTTTTACACTATTTGTATTGATGAAAGTACGACATGCATTAATAAGTTAGATAGTATTCCTCCAGTGTTTCTATAAAAAGTTATTGTAATGAACTTTAGCATTAAATAGTTCTGATCAATGATCATAGTTTCGTGCTACAGATCGAACAGCAAAGGCTGCTAGCCGCTGCAGTCAGGTACCCAGTTCAGCACTAAAACAAAACCGGAGTGAGATACCGTGTAAATTAGATTTAGAGTTTTTTTGTTTGGTCGTTTTTAACTTATGATCATAGGTAATGGATCAATGGGAAGTAGCTAATGAATGTTTTGGGAAGTTTGAATGATGTGTGTAAAATTTGATTCTGGAATTTAAGTTTGTAGATTCGGCTTTTAATGACTTAACTTTATGGAAATGTCACTTTATTTTTCTACGTACTATTAACAGCAAAAGCCAAACAGTAGCCAATCAAAATCTTGTTTATCAATAACATCAGTCAAATTGAATGTGTTTCTGCATGTAAAGAACTGTTTGTATCAATCAACGTCGATGTCGACAAGTTCAAACAGTAAAGGATCATTTGAAGATTCTGCATTAAATGTGGGCGTTGCTGCAAGCTAAACAGTTAATGCAATTTGCACCATAATTTGAAAAATAACTTTGACAGAAAATTAGAATCGAAATTCCCTAAATTTGTGTTTCTTTGAACCTTTTTGGATATCAGTGGACTTAGATGCAGGAATGATAATTGATTCATTTGATACTCCTATATAATTAAGGCTGTGCTAGTCAAGAAATAATATTCCTTGATCGATTTATTAAACTAAATGATCATGCATTTTTCATTTGTTTACATTGACAATGAATCAAAAAAATCCTGACGCTCTACTAGCCATACCTCATGCTGAACAGGCTATGTGGATCTGGATTTCGCTATTTGATAATACTTGCAAAAATTTAAAACATTAGGAGAAACATGTTGTCATTTCCTTCAAAAATTGTAACATTTGGGAATTGCTTTTTTTTTTCTATGATTATAGTGTTGTAGAGGATAAAATTCATAAAAAGCCACTTTTCTTTTTCAATATCTATAATTGACAAATACCTTTATTATGGACTTACAAATTTCACACGTGAAACTCTAAGATATAGCTTGAGCTATTACTTTTCATGTGGAGATTCAAAGAGAGTACTCTTGGATTTTTAAGGCTGGGCTTGGTGAATGAAAAGCTGGATCGGCCCAAGCTAACCCAGTTTATGATTGGGCATGTGCTCAAGCAAGCACCTTTTAGGCCCAGCCCAGTATTTTCCATGCAGAGTCCATATTTCTTAGATACTGGGCTTTAGATCAAGTCTGAACAGAATTTTCTCGTTTGGGGCCATTTGTTAATAGGCATACAATTCTATTGCTCAACAAAAGCGTAGAGGACAAATATTCCAGCTCAGCAGTATTATTATTGACAAATGATCATCTAATTTTCCAACTCAGTTCTTAATGACCTGGTTTCATTTTATTTTAGATCTAGAGTTGGAAGTATCAGAAGTTTACTACTCCGTCGTCCATGTTTACTTGTTCATATTTTACTTTATACATCCTTTTAGAAGCAAGACGTAAAATTGTAATTTTAGTATATCATCTTTATTTATATTTGGATGTTGAGAAATGAATAATGTACTAAATAAAAAATATAAATTATTAAATTATCTCTTAATTTACCTAATCAAACAAATAAAAGTGGTTAAGTAAAATTAAAGGCATGGGATAATTATTATAAGAAGAAATGTTTCTTTTGGCCAAAATGCTCCATGAATTGATGTTCTACAAGTTCCATCTTTTTTTCTTCACTTCTTTATGGCGCAAATAATTATCTAATCCCATATCTGTCCAATTATAAAGTGGCAAATTAAAAAGCATGTGACTACTTTTTCTTTTATTACTTTCCGCGCACATTCTGCATATGCGCTTTCATTAAAAGAAGCTTTCCAATATGTTTATTGATATTTCCAATTTAAGAAATTCAGACCACATAAAAATAATAATGATAGAACGTAACATCTGAATAATAGGGGTTGATTTCTCAATGACCATCTAACAATTATTATTTCAGAAAAATATATTCTATCAAAAAAGAAAAAAAATACTTTCTATAATACATATAAATTGAGTGACCAATTGAAAAGTCAACTCACAGATACTTGATTAACGTGTATTTGTTAAAATGTCAACATTTCCTACCACGTTAATTACATACTAGAACTATAATATTTTGAAAGAAAATTGAGAATACTTCCAAATTTCTAACATAGAGGGTCAATTGGGCAACGCGCAGATTGGTGCTCCACACATTTCAAATTGGCTTCCCAACTACAACCATATATTCATTTGTCTTAAGATTTTCCCAATCTTATTAGTCGGTTGACCTAAAAAAAAACAAAGAAAAGTAGCACAACCGCCAAGTAGAAAAAGTCTGCCCACTTTAAAATGGAGCAATCTACAAATAGTTACAGTTGAAAATTGAATATTAATACAAATTCACAATGTATATACCAAGTTAAGTTATATCACTATCACTATTAAATGTCATACGTGAAATTTTGTCAACTGTACGTAGTCTATCGTAGGATATAATTGCGGCATTAAATTTTTAGTTTGAAAAATTTAAGGGGAAAAAGTTTAAACAAGAATTTTTTCTAAACTCAAAAAAACCGAGTTAGTAAACTTACTCTAAATAAATGCCACCGCCCACCGTTGTTATTCGATACTCCTCCGTCGTAAATGTTCATACTCGACCTGAACGAGCAATAATTAAAATAATAATTTTATTACATTTAAAAACATTAACTCCCTTAATAAATTCAAAGTCTAATGAGTTAAAAGAGAAGTGCTAAATAGCCAGAAAATTTGGCAAAAAAATAAAAAAAACTATAATTTTTTTTTTAATTTTAAAACAAACTGATCTTTTTTTCATTATTTAGTTAAAATATATTTAAGTTAAAAGGGTAAAAATGTTCAAAAAGTTAAAATAACATAGAAAAACTATTTTTCTTGCCAAATTTTTTGGCCAAAAAGATTTTTCCCAGTTAAAAATATTGTCTTTTATTGATTCCTAAAAAATGATAAATGAAAAGTTAAAATTAAACTAGTAAAAAGAGATATTTATAGTAATTTTTACACATATCAATGCTGTATCATTTGGCACTCAACCCAAATTCATCCAAAAAATTAATATGGTAAACTTTTATTAGGGACACATATTTTCCTCCTTCTGAACAAGTCTGATTTTTTCAGACAAATCCTTAATTTTGTATGGTTCTGCGATTAGTTAAAAATATTTTCATCATATTTAGTTAAAAATTAAAATTTCTCGTAAGAAGTCATGTAATTTTGGTGAAAAATTATACTCATCACTCTGTTCCTAATTACTTATTCACTTTTGAATTGACATACCTATTAAAAAAACAATTATTGACATAGTGAGTTTACCATTTTACCCCTATTAATTATGAAGTAGATGAATTAAAAAGGCGAAATGTTCTGATGGACCCTTGTACTTGTATGCATTTGTATTCTGGACCCTTCTACTTAACTATTTGTCAATTGAACCCTTAAATTCAACGTAACTTAGCATTTTAAACCTCCTTGGCTTTGCGTGTACTTCAAACTCTCAACAAAAATGACACATCATCATCCACATCAGATTTAAAATTACACATCATTTATTATTTATTTTTAAAAAATATATCAATTGTGTTTTATCTAATAAAAAGTAAAACAATAAAATTTAAATTTATTCCTTACGCTAAAAAAGAAACCCAACATATTTCCAAAATAGATTAGGCAATAAGCTCTTCAACTTCTTCTTAACTTTGACAATGGTGGTGCTTCTATGGAGGAGATCAAGCTGCTGATGCGTTTCTTCCTTGGAGGGTGAGTCCCCATTCCCATCGTAAAACATACAAAATCTACTATTTTTCTTTCCTCCTCCTTCAACCATCACATAACTACTAACCTAAATCGCCAGCGCCGCAGATCTAGCCGAAAGTCTTTTCGCTATCGTAACTAAATCCTCCAATCCTCACCCGCCTCATTCTCCACCGACTAGCACCGTCTCTCTCACTCTACTGCGAACTAGTTTTCTCTGATGAGCTCCACCACTATCGACCTCTCCCACTAGCGGTGATTCAATGGACTCAAGGAGGTTTCAATGCCAAGATCTTTTAAAGATGATGACAATAGTATGAAGAAGAAAAAAAGAGTCGAGGCATGTAGATGGCTGCAAATGAAGGTGGAGTGGGTGAAGAAGATGGAGACTTTTTAATTAATTTTTAAATTTTTGTATTATTTTATTCTTTTATCAATATTTTTAAAACTAAAATATAGTACTCACTCGCCTTAAGGAGCGTGAAGTCACACACTTTCGCCAACTCAGCTATCTTAAAGACACACAAGCATGGTCAATGGTCAGAGAGGTTCGATAAATTGTGTTTCATTGAATTTAAGGGTCCAGATGACAAATGGGTAAGTAGAAGGGTTCAGAATACAAACTGGTACAAGTACAAGGATCTACCAGACCATTTCGCCGAATTAAAAATTTAAGACTTTCAAGAAGTTCTACCTTTTTCAAAGTAATTAATTGAGGGTATAATAGGTAAGGAATTTTTTATCCTTTCTTGATATGTCAAAATGGATAAGTAATTAAAAACAATTAAAAAAGGAAAAATAGATAGGTAATTAGGGACAAAGGAAGTATTATTTGTAGCCTAATGAAATAAATTCTTCCCTGTAAGCCTAATGAATTTTTTCTTGTCAAATCTCAAATTTTAATACCCATTTTCAGTTTCAGTCAAAAAAAATTCGAACTGATGCAATAATAAAAAAACAATTTCGACAAAAAGCTGTAATTTCGTCTTTCGATGTTGGATCGAAATGTTTTCCATCGAGGTGAAGAGATGGAAGAGTTATTTTTTTCTTTCTTCCGATTATGTTGTCTTTTTTTAGAGGAAGATTTCGAATGTGTTGATAATGAAAAAATATATTGTGGATTAAAAAAAATGAAAAAAATGAGAAGATAAAATATTGTATAGATGCTTCTAGCAGAGTTTCCATGGCAAACTAGAGTTGCACAGGTGTAATTATTAAAGAAGAGAGGGGGCTAGAGAGAGAGAGTGTGTGATTTTAGTTAATTAAATAATTTATTAATTATATAGTATCCAATTAAAAAATAACAGTT